CGTGGGAATTCTGGGAGTTGAAGTCCACTCATCTTAATGCTGGCTGGGGAATTCTGGGAGTTGAAGTCCACTCATCTTAAAGTGGCCAAGCTTGGACAACACTGTCCTAAGCAAAAACCCCAAGGTCATATCAATATTTTTTATTGCTTACTGTTGGAATTAAACAACTGCTGTTTTTCTACTTTTGTTTTATTTTCTGTACATAAACTGTCACTGGGGATAATACCAGAAATGCCTGCCTGCGAATCAACGTGTTCATTTAGAAATTGTGTAACAATAAAAGCAGTTCTAGTTTCTTGGGTCTGAAGGACAATGGGCTCAGTTAGCTCTTTTGTGGCAAACCTGCTGCTGTATTTCAGGCTGTTTCCTATGAGAGGGGCTGGAAAGGTTCTCATGGCTAATTCTGTAGATGTTTTGTGATTTCTTGCTTTCCGTAGCTGAGCAGACCTAATTGTGTAATTCAGCTGACTTGATCAGAGCTGAAGGGTAATCTGCTCTCTGTTCTTCATATGCTATAAGTTTGCCTGGTGGTAATTAAAATGACAGTGATAAACAGAGGGGGCACCTTTTGTGCAAATTTCATTTCACAAACCTGAACCGCTAAGAAGGGTGGCCACATTTCTTGTGGGTTTTTGTTGGTAAGAGTCACACCCTCTTCATGGTCAGGAGAAGTTAGAGAGAGAAAAAACTTATCGTAATTATCTTCATTTGTCTTGTTTCAGCTTGATGAGTGGTGTTAAAAACAACGTTGGGAGGGGCATTAATATAGCCCTAGTAAATGGTAAGTGTTTGTTTTAATTACATAACTGATACTTAGAGTGTGTATTATTCTGGACACGTGCGTTGTATTTGTACATGCCTGGCCAAGAGATCCTCTTCCCACCTATTTATCTTAATTCTTCAGCATAATCAGGGGCCTCTCCAAAAGATGCTCAAGTCCAAGCATTTTACTTCTCACTTCTGGGCCTTGCTTTTCCACAGAAAAAGTAGTCAGTGCTGGAATCAATGGATTCAGTGCCACTGTGGACAGGGTCAAGTTAGCATATCCATCCCATATTTCTGTCCCCCCTTTCAACAACACCCCCCATTTATCTGGAGGGCATCTAAGAAGTGTAATGGCCACAGAGACTCCACTTTTTGATGCTGCTCCAGGACTTTGTGTCTACCCCATAAGGCAGAGAGGTCAGTCTATCTGCTGCTCAGCTATTCAGATGACATGTTTCCTGTCCACTCATCTTAAAGTGGGCAAGTTTGGACAACACTGTCCTAAGCAAAGACCCCAAGGTCATATCAATATTTTTTATTGCTTACTGTTGGTATTAAACAGTAAACAGGGGTGGGTATTACTTTAGCCCCAAACAGACCTACTTTATCTCTGATTGTAAGCCTCAGAGTTACAGAATTTGGTCATTTGGCTGTTCCATCTCCTTCCCCCAATGTTTCAATGGGAGGGGGGCCACTTAAAGCTAGTACACATTTTCTTTAGCTATAGATAGGCCCAATTATGACAGCTCAGAGCTATAACATAATATTTGATTCTTGACTGTTTCTGCCACTTTCTCATTTCCCTTCTTTCACCTCCTAGTTTAGTGGGCTTTTTTTTTCATCTCCTGCCGTTGACCAGCACGTTTTCCTAATATTCCTTTGTGCTTCTGTGAACTGAGTCTTTATTATATTCCTTTTCTTCTTGGAGCAGTCATGTTTTGGCTATGGAATTCTGGGTGCTGGGAAGAGAGAGAACAGGTGTTCACTACAGTATATGGATGACTTGAGTTCATAATTCTAGACCAATATGACTTTGGTCCAAGGTGGCCTGCTCCCTTCTTCCCCCCCCAAGTAGTTTTCTTTTCTTTTTTTTCTTTCCCATAGTCAGGATTTCTTGCTGCTGAACATGTGCAGTTCCATTTAGAGTACTGGGATTTTTTTCTAAACCATTTGGGGCCATCTGCAAACTTTGAAGTTCTCCCAAGCCTGCAGTCATCTCTATCTGGTTTATGGATGGTGCACTAGTGATAACACAAAAATCTATGTCTATTTTTAATACATAAGGGTGTGCTTTCCTTGGCATTGTTTCATGGTAGAGTAATTAAATGAAATTTCAGAAGATAGCGATGCCTGTTACTAGGTTCACAAGCTACACTAAGGATGGACAGTCTTGACTAACAGGAGTTTTTGTAAAAAAAAAAATCCCCCAAAAGGATAGCAAGCCACATCCTGCCAAGAAAGCTATGGATGTCTTTGCATAGTCAACAGGAGTCATCTTTATCTTTTTAAAATTTAGATCTTTATCTTTTTTTTTTAATTTAGGTGAAATATGTTTAATTCATTTGTTTGTTTCCACTGGAAATTCAGGGCAGCCAACAGTATTAGTTTAACATAAAATGGCTCTAAACTCACAAGAAGTGAGAAGCTTCTCCTAGCCCAAACACTTGTACCTGCTGCTAGTTGTGGTCAGTAGAAATTAGAAATAATTCTAGAAAAAGGAAATGCTACCAGTTTGTCATCTTCATTAGCTGATGAAAGTACTAATTACCAAGTTAGTCCTAAATATCTTCCATTGTCCTAAGCCTGGAGAAAAATTATTTTGCCAACCAAATTTGCATGGTTGTAGAACCTGAATGGCAGCATGCCTGATAAATATTTGCTCTTGCTAAATAGCAACCCTACTTGTACAACTGTACACAAAGAGAGAAAGCATGGTTCAGCAATCAGCTCTTGCCATTGACTAAGAACTGGAAGTACAAGTACATCAATACTGTACCTTTTGAAGCTCCCACTTGCTGCTCTGTACAAGCAAATCCACATTTTGCCTTATCTGCTGTTTTTAAATATGTTCCTGAGACGGTACTCTTAACCATAAATGCATTAATATAGAGTTATTCTTTTTGTCTTCATTACTTCTGCATAAACAGGGCATATGGGGATTTATTGCATCTCATGTCTTATTCCTTTTACTAGGCAAAACAGGTGAAGTAGTGGACACAAAATTCTTTGATATGTGGGGTGGAGGTAAGTGCAGAAATACATGCTTCTTTTAAAAAATAATTAATACGTCATTTTACTTGTTCACTTTACTTATTTAGAGTGAAGTGGACAATGTCGTGCATGTTCGTAATTAAATCCAGTTGTATTAAAACTAGAGTGATTCTAATACTCAAAACTTGACAAATGTTGCTTTTCATATTTGCACGAGATATTTTGAATTAAAATTTGAGTTTTGAATGAAAATCTTGTAAATCAAAATAGGGGTGCTTTAGACTTGCTGGCATTTCTTGTTTGCAGTGATATATAATTTATGTTCTTTTTTACCTTTGTTCTTTGTTGTTATACTGGTGTTTGTTACTGTGTTAGTTGCCTACAGTTGCCTTGCAAGATGAATGGCTGTATAAATGTAATAAATAATAAATTTTGTTTTGCTTCCATTTGATACAGATGTAGCCCCATTCATTGAATTTCTGAAGACTATTGCAGGTGGAACTATTGTATTAATGGCAACATATGATGATGGTGCCACTAAGTAAGTCTGTAGGAAATACAATTAACCTTATTTGGTACCATTTTTAGAACCTCATATATATGTTTGTGTATGTGTGTAACTTGTATTAAATAAGTTTTTCCACAGAATAAAAACAATACAGATTTTAAGTTAAAGATAGGAGAAATAGAGAAAAGTAATGGAAAAGTGAAAAAGAAATAAAGAAAAAGAGATAGAAAAGAAGGAAAAAGAAAAAAAGAATAATAAAGAAGTGATTTCCAGTCTTCTTAACAGCAGTTATAAGTACATTTATATTTTACCCTCTCTCTCTAAGATTACATCAAAGTTTCCTTCTTTCCATAATCTCCCCTTCTAATCATCAAATCCATAAATCATCTCTTCATTTTTTTTTCAGCAAAAAGTCCATAAGGGGTTTTCAGTCACTAATAAATGTAGTTATTAATCTTTCTCTAAGACCTTATTTAGGTATTAGTGCTATATTAGCCTCTATCCAACTGTCTGGTATCTTTCCCATCTTCAAAATAGAATTCATTATTTTTTGAAATGGTTGTAATACTTCATCTTCAAAATATTTATAATACTATGGGGGAGATGGATGGCATACAAATTTAATAATAAATAGATAAAATAAGAGGCTGGTAAGTCATCTAAGTTCAGGTGCTTTCCCTATTTTTGCCTTGTTTATGACTCTTTTTTTTAAGAATCTCTTTTTGTGCATGAAATCTTCCTCTTGAAAATGATCCCTAGGGATAGCCCTATTTATTTAAATTGCCAAAGCAGCTGAACCTCCCAGAACAATACAGTAATAATATCTAAACACTTCTTCCTGATGGCTGGAACTGAAGAATTGCTTGCTGTAAGTTTTAGCTATTTCTCTAAACTGGAGAGGAATGAAGGGAATTAAATGAACAAGCTTTTCTGTTTTTGTGGTGATGAATGATTAATGATAGTTTATAACCATAACTTAAAATTTATAGCAATAAATTAAATGCCAAATAATTACATTATGCAGTAACTGCATTGCAGCTACATGTAATCAAGACAAAATCACCATAAATGATCAAGACAAAATAAGCAACAGAAGTAATAACACTGCATGTAAATAACAGCCGTTGCTACTGATTGAAGATTAGTTGTTTGATTAAACAAGTTAAATTAGGACCAGACCAGACACTTTTCACTCAGTGAGGAGTGAATAGTAATTTTGATGAATATTAAAGCATGAGTTCCTGATCTCCTTTATGGTCATCATTCAGATCATCTCCCCTCCCATCATTCCAACTGTTACTTACATTGGAAATAAAACTGTAAATGAGAGTTGTTCTTCCAACACGATTAGAAGAATAGGATTCAGATTCAGGTAAGAACAAGAAAGTAGGCAAAATCCCATATCTCCCTATGGATACAGCTTTTAAAAAGTTCATTCAGCAATTACTAATTCTGTAATAGTGCTTATACAATCTGCAGTGCACAACATAAATGATACACCATTAAACCATCTACAGATTTGGTCCTTATAGTCCCTGTTTTCTCCATCTATCACTATCACTATCTCCATCTCTATCTCTATCTCTCTATATCTAATCTGTAAGGAATATTTGAAAAAAATGCTGTCATGTTTACCCTCAAGTAGATAAGAGCAAATGTGAGGAACATGGTGTTCTTCCAAGAATATGGTCATATGAAGCAAAGTGTTTATATGAATGAATGAGGCAGACTACATTTTATATGATATTATATTTCTATAGTAATTTTTAAAAATTCTGTTTGAAGGCTTACTGAAGAGGCACGGAAACTAATATCAGATTTGGGGAGTACGTCCATCATGACCCTTGGCTTCAGAGACAACTGGGTTTTCTGTGGTGGGAAAGGAATCAAAACTAAAAGCCCTTTTGAACAGGTATGTTTTCACATTAATGTTTAGATGACCTAATGGGGTGTGTTTTGAACCCAAAACATACATTACATCCTGGAAGTTCTGCTGACTCATTTTGATCAGCAGAACTTCAGCTGTTGGTCAGTTATGGTTCACCACAAGAAAAACCTGGAACATTTTGTATGTTCCAAATTTTGGCTATAATGAAATCCAAAAGAGTTTTATGGGAGGAGCAGGGCAAGACTCGTGTGAGTTGTCCCTCTCTTCCCTCCTCCTCTGAATGGCTTGTGCACCAGCCTGCCCACCAATCTTCCCAGCACTTTCTTTTCCTTGCTTCTCCTAAGCTACCACCAATGTCCTTGGCTCCTTGTCACTTACCTTCCACAATGTTCCCAGTGTATTCCTCTCCCCATGTTCCCCTAGCTGCTGCTGCCCCTAATATCTTCACCTTCAAGCACAGCATTCAACCACCTTCTCCCCACCCAATGCTCTCTGTGCTTTCTTTTCCCTACTTTCGTTAGGGACAGTGGGGAGTATGTGGGCCAGTTGGACACTTTTTGCACTTGAAGTGAGGACATTAGCAGCTAAAAGAAGGTAGAAAAAGGAACGCCCTAGACTCTACAGACACACAGATACACACACACACACAATTTTTGCCAGGAACAAGTATCTTGAATCCAAATATAGATCACCTGGTACTAGTTCCAAGCACAGATGATCCATGCACAGAATGTTTTGCACACCTTTAATGACACATATGACAGCCAGTTTGATGCAGTGATTAAAGGACCAGAATAGAAACCAGGAGAGTATGAGTTTTGATCCTGCCATAGGCACAACTCTGGGCCAGTCATTCTCAGCCTAGGAAGAAGATAATGGCAAACCACTTCCAAAAACATTGCTAATGTTGCCAGGAGTCAATATAGACTTGAAGGCAAGGCAGGCAGGCAGGCAGGCGGGCATATATAAAGCTTAGTTTATGTCAGAAGCTAAGCTTTATATATATAAACTTTGTCAGAAGAATCTAGATGAAAGAGGTGCTCTTGACCAGTCCAGTTGACCCAGTACTTTGACCAGTTCAGCTTGGTGCACCAGGTTTTCCTAGAAAACATCGATCCGACCATATAGGACACCCCTTAGTTATATCTGGATGATTGCTGTGTGGATTCACCAAATGATGGCCTTTGTACTTTGTAACTTGTTATTACTTTGTACTGAAAAAATGTACTTGTAAACTACACCTGGATTAGAATGTATAGTAGCTCAGCTAATCACTAGGTTTCCTTAAAGGAGCATGTGATTTCCTTGCTGAAATGTCTCAGTGGCTGTCTTTTGATTCCTAGTTCAATTCAGAGTTTTATGATGAATCTTAAGACTGCATGAGCTATGGCAAAAAATATCTGACTAATATCCTGCATCCGTTTGCTTGTCTGTTGGGATAATCTTGGAGGCACACTTGTATGCCTCAGTAACTGCAAAGATACTTACGGTAATTGGAATCAGGAAGAGGGTCTGGGTTGATCTGGATTCAAAGGAGAAAAGATGATTTGGAGCACATGGAGTCATACATGGAACACCTGTCAGCTTCTGCTTAAATCAAATGTATCTTTAAGAAGTTGCATTGAGGTGCTACATGAGCGCATGTGTATGCTAAGAATCACCTTTTTCCCTTCAAATCTGGATCACTGCATAGTCCTAGTGCCTTGCTCAGGACTTCCTAGGATCATCTCACTTCTTTTTAGGAAGATTTTGAATATGAAATTTAATTTGTCCCCGCACTGTGAATATTCATTTGTCCCCTGCCCTTTGAGCATGTTAAATGTTTCTATCCCCAATGTGTTATTTTTTGTGCAATTCTTCTGTTTTAAGCAGTTAAACTGCTGCTGCTGCTGCTGCTGCTGCTGCTGCTGCTGCTGCTGCTGATGATGATGATTATTATTATTATTATGGCAAATCACTCTAGATTCTTAGGAGGAAAATCAGCAGGTTCTGTGTACAGGTAGTCCTTGCTTAACGATTGTTCATTTAGCTACCATTTGAAGTTATGATGGTGTTAAAAAGTGACTTATGACCTGTGCCCAAAGTTACAACAGTCTCAGTGCCCCTGCACTCACGTGATTGTGATCTAGGCACTTGGCAACCAGCTCACATGACAGTTGCAACATCCTGGGGTCACATGATTGCCATTTGCAACCTTGCCAGCCGCTTCCAGCAAGCAAAATCAATGGGGAACTGTGTGATTTACTTAACAACTATGTGATTCACTTAATGTCCGCCACAAAAGGTCATAAAATTGGTCCAGTCATATGATGGTTTGCTTAATGACCGCATTGCTTAGCGACCTAAATTCTGGTCCCAGTTGTGGTAGTTAAGCGAGGACTACCTGTATGTGTTATTTGAAAACAATAGTGGAAAATCCTCACACTGATTTCTCTGCTAATATTCAGGTTAAGAGTATTGTTGTGTATTAGCTCTCATATTTTGCACAGCTTTTGGTTATTTATTCTAGACCTTCTTTTTTTTTTTTTTGGCATGTATTTCTTGCCTTGGAAAAAATGCAACAGGTCAGGTAATTTTTATACCACCCAACATAAATACAAATACTAAAAGAAAAAAATCTTGTTTTTCTCTGCAATAATGACTATAGTTATATTTAAACTGAAATGGTTTTCTCTTTGTAGCATATTAAAAACAACAAGGACACCAACAAATATGAAGGATGGCCAGAAGTTGTGGAGATGGAAGGGTGTATTCCACAGAAACTAGACTGAACAATCTGCAACTTGACAATAGACAATGCAAAGAACAGTGGAGGGGGAAATGCACTTTTCTGCTGCTGTGAGGTTGTGGGATTTGGGAGGATAGAGGCCATGTGTGAACTCCATCCCACCTAGCATGGCTTCTTGCACAAGGCCCATAAAAAGCTGTGCAAAGGGATGGTAAATAGCACCAATTCATTTGGCTGGGGCATGTGAAATATTTATCCTGTTGGATTGTGCCCTATGTAAATAATTTCCAGGCATGTTTTCACCTTAAAATGTGCATGAACTTTTTTTTTTTTTTTTAAATATCAGGCTTATTTATTGTTAAACTGAAGAGATCCTTTTTCTCCTGTTTCTTTTTTCTTTTTGTAAATGAGCCCTAAACAAACAGAACAATTGTTTCGGAGCATCCTTATTCTTCCCTCTCCCCCTCCCTTTCTTCCTAGTTTCTAAAGCCACTTATTGTATGTAAATATCTTTCAGAACCACCGTCATCAGTAATTAGAGACATAGTTGAACTAGTCCTGAGCTTTGTTGTATCCTGCTCAATTACAACATTGCTGTGAGTGCGTATATTTAGAAGGATATGTAAATTTTAGAGGAAAAAATAGTTAATTATTTTTATGCTACGGCTGTTGGAAAACCACATTCTTCAGTGACTCTTTTCAGATAGAGGGGCTGGATGTTTGATACAAAAATGTAGGCCTGCTCTACAAAGCACAATTAAATGCTTTTCATTCATATCAAATGTATAACACTGTGTCTGTTGCAATTGTTAAATCGTCTGTACCCCATATTTCTGGTTAGCAATGCAAGCTGCTAATAGGGCAGAATAACGTGATTGTTTCTTGTGTGTGTTCAGCTACATTTTTTTAAACCTCTGAGATCCAGAAGCCATGTAAACTGGTTGAGGTCATGCTGAACTCAGAAAGAAGCCAGTGTTGGCAGTTATTGTGTTTTCCTGGGGATATGAAATAACATAGTTTTACCAAAAAAAAAAGCTTAATTCCTCGTGGAGGTGACTTGGCATGTATCGTTCAATCGGACATCTTTCAGAACTGGTCTCAGTTGAGGGATAGGCTTGATTATTGGGAAAAGAAAATCCATTGGGGAACATGTCTTACTAGAGTGAGACGGTTACTATTTAACTTGGCTGATTTAACCAGACAGACCACATGAGGGCACATTTTTGCAGGTGCTTATAACAGAATGCATTTGAGATCTCCAGAGCGTTCACTCCCAACAAACGTCATCTCCCCATTTTCTTGTCCTACATATGGCAGCAGGGAAGGGGAGCATTGATCTCCCCACCCCACCCCCCTTTTCTAATTATTCACATTGCTTCATAGTGACATTGTGTTGAGTAATTGAATTATAGCAGTCGGCTTGCAGTTCTAGATGCCTCTAATGGCATTCCAGCTTTAGGGGATAGAATCCAGACGGGTTCACAGGGAGTTTCTGTATGCACAGGAAGCCTTCCACTCTCCTGGTATCATTGAACTGCACTATCCCACATCGCCTACAAAAGTCATTCCCGCTCCCTGTATTTTTAGAAAGCAGTTGGAGAAGGGAACTCTTGGGACTGTCAGTTTTTTTCCTTTTTGTAGAGGCGACGGTGGCATTTTTGCAGTTCCATTTTCCCGCTGAAACAGTGAACAAGCAGTTTTGGACATCTCTGCTTTACAGAGAGGCTTTAGCAAGAAGTATGAATAGATGTTTGCTGTGGGATGTCAGTATGTTTGTTGTCAGTCTGAACTGTATGGGGTGATTAAAAATATCCATTTTAAAAAAATAACCATTGGAAAAGAAGAGTTGGGCTTAGAAACTGGTATTGTTGGACTAATGAAATATTGTTTGCACTGAAAATATTAAAGCAATACTGGAGATTAATTACTTTATATAGTTTAAGAGAAACACCTAGCTTTTCAATGCTAAGATTTAATGACTGGAATATGAGTTTCCTTACTGTTTTAACCTGTTCATATTATCTTTTTCTTTAATTTGCTGTAGCTTAGCAATAAGTACACCATAAACAGATCAATTATTTGTACTTTGCAGATTCTCCAGCCATGTTTGATTAAATAAAATCACTTGTCCATGTATTATATTTTTTCATTAAATAAAGTTTTAAAAAAACAAGATCTGGATCTGCTTAGGAAGAACCCCTTGTATTTGGTGTATGTTTAATGTAATAAGGCTTCTTCTTCTTTTTTTTTTTTTGGTAGACAGGAATCACAGGGGTGCATATTTTCAAGATGCAGTAAGAGTGTATCTTACTGCATTACATGCATTGGAAAAAAATTCTGATTAAGTGCTGCTCTTTGCCTCCACTCAGTACTGATAGTAATATCAGCAGATGATGAAAATCAGTCCATCCTGTAACTTAAAGCATAGTCTACTAAACTATCTGTATTTCACTGACCAAAATACTGCTGGTTAAACCATTCTTTGGAGCTGCAATAAAGTATTATTTGATTAAATTTGGAAGTTTCTACTGGCAGTAAGTGGTACCTCAGTTCATGAACTTAATTCGTTCCACGGTTCTGGTTGCAAACCGAATTGGTCGCCAACCGAATCAAATTTCCCCATAAGGTTCAATGTAAATAAGGTTAATCCCTTCTGGACCATATGGATTTTTTTTTTAACCACA